GTTCAAGTCCTAGTATGTAACACACAGACACACATATACACAGACACACATACACAGCCTGTTTCCCTCAATGATGCTCTCATTTTTTTCCCTCCACTGATGTAGGTTTAGGTTGAGGAGAGAAGTTGGGGGCTAGGTTGCCTCTCCTCCTGTGATCTTTGCAATGAAATATGAAAATGAAGGCAAAGTGCTTACAAAACAATCAGACTGGAGGCTGGGCATGGTAGCACACCCCTGAAGTCCCAGCACTTGGGAAGCTAAGGCAGGAGGCTTGCTGTGAGTATGAGGCCAGCCTGGGCTACAACGTGAGCTTAAAGCCAGCCTTTTTTTTTTGGTGGTTCTGGGGATTGAGCCCAGGAACTTGTGCTTGCCAGGCAAGCGCTTATTCTACTGAGCTGTCTCCCTGGGCCCTTGGCCCCCTTACATAGTAGTAGTGCTTTTTTTTTTTTTTTTTTTTTTACCAGGGATTGAACTCAGGACCTTTCGCTTGCCAGGCAAGTGCTTATTGTACTGAGCTATCTCCCCACCCAGTTCAAAGCCAGCCTGAACTGCATAGTGAGACCCTGTCTCAAAATGAAAAAAAAAAAAAAGGAAAATGACTAAGTATCAGTGGCAGAGCACATGATTGTCTGGTAAATCCGAGGCAAGGGCTCCATCCTCAGCACCACAAGGGAAAAATTTAACAATGAAGAGCTGGCCAGATAGCTCAGCGGATTAAAGCACCTGCTTAGGCAGATGCAGGGACCAGGGTTCCATTCCTAGGCTTGCCCTGCCTACTCCACCCTCAGGGTGTGATGAGACAGCCATTGAGACTGGGTGCAGTGGTGCACGCCTGTAATCCCAGCACTTGGGAGGCTGAAAAGGAGGAGGAGCACTAGGAGTCCAATCTGGGTAGTGAGACCCTGCAGCGTCATGTGTTGAGGTCGGCGCTCTGCCTGGGCCAGAGCAGAGCCTGTGTATAATCCAGAGCAGTCCGACTGAGCAGCCAGCTGCCCAGATGTGTGAACAGGTTCTGTGTGGGGCGCTTCCAGAGTGCTGAGTCGTCACACAGGCAGTGTGCTCTGAAAACTGGGCCAGCGACTGGGAAGGCTGCGTAGAGGAAGGCGGCGAAGCGTTCATCCAATGTGAAAGTGGAACAACTTTTTCGCCATTATGTATCTTATGATAAAGCTGTGTAAAGGGGCTGGTGAGATGGCTCAGTGGTCTAAAGCACCTACTTAGAACAAGCTTAGCAAAACACAGGGAGCGCGGTTCAATCCCCCAGCACCACATGCCAGCCAGCTCCGCCTCCTGGTGGGCTGAGCTGGCCACACACACACACACACACACACACACACACACAAATAAAATAATTTTTTTAAAAAAGCTGTGTAAAATCTATATGGTGGTAAACTCTTACGTTAAATATTGCAGCTAGGACATTGGGTTCTGGGATGCCTGGAGTCCTAGAATTTGGGAGACTGAGGCAGGAGGATGCTTAAGCCTTGGGAATTTGAGACCAGCCTGGCACCCTCAACATGAGTACTGACAATTTTTAAAATTTAAACTACAGATAGGGAGGAGATGACTGAATATGTGAGACTGGCCAAATGTACTCATATTGGCTTCCTGGTAAAAACAACACAGTCTTGTGCTCTCTGGTTAAGGCTGAGTTGTTTGTTTTTGCTTTGGTTCTTTTTGAGACGGGCTTGATGGGTTGTGCAGACTGGCCTTGAACTCATGCTCTTCCTGCCTCGGCCTCCCAAGTGCTGGGATTACAGGCTGTGGTACCACACCTGGCTTCAAGTGCCAGAGTGTGTTGTCTTCAAGACAGCTGTCAGTAAGCAGCTGAGTGGGCCTCTCCGGTGCCTGTGTGGGAGGCCTCAGGTTCTCGTCCTGCTGCTGCGGGGGGATCGCTGAGCTCTAGCCCATGGCCTGGTCCAGCTGCCTCCCCTGTCCATGTAGGTCTCAGCCTCTCAGTCTGTCACCTGCTGGGCACCTGCACATTCACCTTCCCAGGAAAGGACAGCAGGGGCTTGGCTGGCTGCCTTCTCTCCCGCCGCAGCAGTCCCTCCATGAAGGCCCTGGCTCTACCTTCACAGTAGATCCAGGAGCTGCCCTCTTCACCACAAAGGCCCACTGCTCTGGCTTCCTCCTCCCCTCTGAGCATCACAGCAGCCTGCAGCCTGCCTCTGTGTCCCCCCACTTGTCTGTCCCCACCAGAAGCCCGAGGGAGCCTGTGTTCATCTGAGTCAGGCTGCACCCCTTCCCCATATAGAGGGTTCCACAGCTCCGGCTCCAAGAGGCCCCCCAGCCCAGCTCACACAGTCCAGAGGCATCCACCCTTGAAACCACCCTGGCCTTGTCTCCTCTCCTTGCTCCTTCAGCTCATCTCATCCCTCACTCAGATCCAGCCTCTTGGGATTCTTTGTCTGTTTGGTTTTGTTTTTTTGAGACAGGGTCTCCCTATGTAGCTCATGCTGGCCTTGATCTCATTATGTAGCCCAAGCTGGCGCTAAACTCGCGGTGATCCTGCTGCCTCAGCCTCTCCAGTTTGAGAATTATAGGTGTGTGCCACCACACCTAGCTTCCCGGGATTCTCGGAATGTGCCATACAGTGTCTCCTCAGGACCTCTGCGCCGGCGTTTCCTTTCATCTGAACACATTTTTCCTCCATAGCTTCAAAGCTCTTTTCCCTTGCTCCTCAGGTGTTCGCTTCAAAGTCCCTTCTCTGGGAGGCCTCCATGGCCACCTGACACAGCCTTGATTCCTCTCTGTGTAAGTGCTCCAGACACCTGTCACATGCTAGGTCTGCGCCTCTGAGTGTCAGCTCTACGAGGGCAGGGATGTCTGCTCTGTTTGCTGCTGGCAGGGCCCGGCACTGGGTTGGACCCAGGAATGAACGTCTGTGGTCACTGAAGCTGTCCAATAAGGGAAGACCACAGTGTCACACAAGGAAAACACTGGGCAGCAGCCGCACTATCATGACTGAGCCTCAGCCCATGAGTAAAGCTGGCTTCCTGGGTCAGGGTGTCCTGTGCTTGGGAAGGAAGAGACTGTCCCCTCCTCAATGCCTCCCCCAGCAGCTCCCCTGCAGGGACACTGCCCCATTTCACAAAGCTGGACCTAGTAAGGACCCATCCTCCCCCTGGTGGCAGCTTCTGAGGTTGCAGGTATCCAATGGGCCCAAGGGAAAACTCTCTCTCTCTCTCTCTCTCTCTCTCTCTCTCTCTCTCTCTCTCTCTCTCTCTCTCTCTCTCTCTCTCTCTCTCTCTCTCTCTCTCTCCCCCCCCCCCCCCCGGGGGTTCTGGGAGTGTGGCACATCCTGTCACCTCAACATGCATGGATGGAGCAAGGATGGTGGTGCCAACATTCTCCTGTTGGGGTGTGAGACTCCAGGAGTCTCAGGGCTTCCTGCAGCAGCCTGCAGTATGAGCTGCCCTTGGCCACGAAGCCTGGCACATACAAGCCACGGCCCGTGGCACACCCACTGCTACGTTTCTCTTTATTTTTTTTAATGTATTTGGTACAAGGGTCTCACCACGCAGCTTGGACTCACAGTGATCCTCCTGTTTTCAGCCTCCCCAGTGCTGGGATTACAGGTGTGTGCCACCACGCCTGGACTCGGTGGCCAACTCAGTGCACCTGGGGCCAGGGCCAGTGCAGGATATGGCACTGGGGATCGAATCCTGGTCTCTGTGCTTGCCTAAGCAGGCGCTTGGTCTGCTGAGCTATCTTGCCAGCCCAACTACCAGGTTTCTCATTGTGAAATTATGACACAGAAACCACATCCCCTGCTGGGAAATTGTCATAGTGTGCTGGTTTTGTTGGCTCAAGTCACTTTGTTGTCAGCAGAACAACAGGGACTCTGGACTAATGCCAATGATGCCCCTGAGACATGGAATCTTTTTGAAGAATGAGTGAAGTGGCCTATGGGGAGCGCAGAGCCACCTCTCTGAAACCTGAGAGGGTGAAACTGTTCTGGCTCCTATTTCATACAGGGGAAACTGAGGCTGAGAGGAAGTAGACCAGTACAGGTCACGCAGCATGGAAGCAGGAGGCTCAGCCCTCGCCCCATGTCTGGCCGGTAGCCCTGAGCTCACAGGCACGAAGTTCTGCCTCTCTGAGGAAGGTGGCCCAGCCTGCCCAGGCCCCGTGCCCTGCGGTGCCCACAGTGCCCGGCCGCAGTGCTGCCTACCTGTGTGTAGCAGCGTAGGAGCAGCCCCTTCTCCTTCAGCAGGCGGATGAAGTAGTGACAGATGGTTGGCTGGGGGAAGTAATGGCAATGCCGACGGTCACAGAGAGCATTTACATGCTGTCGCCATGTGCCAGGGAAGGTTCTGGGTGCTGTGTTTGTTTTTCTTCATGGAATCATCACAGAGGCCTCGGGAGGGAGATCAGCATCCCCCACTCCACCCTTGCTCCACAGGAGAGGCCAAGGCCTAGGAGGGTGGCTTGGCAAAGTCACACAATCAGGGAGTCGCAGAGCTAGCATTTGCAACCAGGCTGTCTGGACCTAACATGTTAATTCATCTACATTTTACAACAATCCTTTTCAGACGCCAGTATTAGCTTCATTTCACAGATGGGAAAAGCGAGGCTCATGGTCTCAAGATGAGACATAGGAGCTGAATCCTGGCAGCCAGGCTCAGATCCTCATCCATGGTGTCTTTATTAATTGTCAGGAGGCTGGGGGGGGGGGAATGCTTCCCGGGCCTGCTCTCCCAGCCTGCCCCACTGGATAGGATCTCACCTTGAACTGTCCGGGGTATAGTTCCTTGGCGAGGGCAAAGAAGGGTTCTGGATGTTTCTGTGGGAAAGAGTGCCAGAGGGGCCGATGCCCAGGTGATGTGAGGGTTGGAGCAGGTGCCCTGCCCCCCAGCTCCTTGTTACAGACAGATACCTTGAAATAGCCAATCTCAAAGATGGCCTCAGGGTAGGGAAGGTGGTACTTCTCCAGGTTGGCATAGAGCCCGGTGGTCGGAGAGCGGAAGTCAGGAATGCCAGCCGCTGGGGGAGGAGGCACAGGGGACAAGAGACTGGGGACGCTGGCCCCACATAGACTGCACTGATCTTTCTTCCAGACCGGATGCGGACAGTGCCCCTGCCTAGGCCGGGGGGCGGGGGGGGAGAGCTCACTCCTGGGGATTGCTGGGAAGGGAACTTACATGTGGAGATTCCAGCTCCCACCAAACAGATGACCCTGCGGCCTGGAAGACAAGAAGACAGGAAGGTGACATTGTCTGACACAGTTTCCTCAGCTGATATCATCACTCATCATAGCCATGATGCTGCTTCCTCGATACTGGGTGTGGGGCAAGTATCTCAGATGCCTGCCGGTCCTCCCAGCATCTTCAGGAGGATGGTGCTGCTGGCCCTCACTACAAAGAAACCAAGGCCTAGAGCAGGGACGACAGCAACTGGCAGAAGGCACTGTTTGATTTGTTTGTTTATTTATTTATTTATTTATTTTTGCAGAACCGGGGTTTGAACTCAAGCCCTTGCGCTTGCCAGGGAAGCGCTTATTCCACTGAGCCATCTCCCCAGCCCGATTTGTTTATTTTGGGACAGGGTCTCCTTATACAGTTCAGGTTGACCTTGAACTCATGGGGATCCTCTTGCCTCAGCCTCCTGAGTACTAGGATTACAAGCAGGCACCATCACACCTGGTCAAGAAGGCACTGTTTGAAATGATACCAATGTAAGAAAACTCAAGAAGAAGCTGGGTGTGGTGGTGCACACTTCTAATTCTAGTTCTTGGGACGCTGAGGCAGGAGAACTGTAGTGAGTTCAAGGCCAACCTGGGCTATATATATCAAGACCCTGTCTCAAAAAAAAAAAGAAAGAAAAGAAAATTCAAGAAGAGACTATATGACCACAAGTTTCTCCTCTTAAGTAGATTAGACAAAAATACATTCTCCAGGAAAAGATGCAGGTTAGTGTAAAGATCTCTCAGGCTGGGCTATGGCTCAGTGATAGATCACTTGCCCAGCGAGGGCAAGGGCCCTGTTTCCCTAGTACCACCACCAAAAAGAAAAAAGCAATAACTCATCTTTTGGACCCTAGTCAGGTAACCTTTATCTCTAGCACATTATACACACGGACACAATTTCTCATCAAATTCCTTTCCTCCAAAAGCAAAAGCACATCAGTTGCCAGAAGCCCGTTCATTTCTAGGCAAAGACCGAAGATCTCTCACCCTGAGCCCACACCCAGGAAAGAGGAGTGGAGGCTGGATCCAAATCGTGGGGGCTTGCGCTCTTTCTATCACTACTCAGGGTTCTGACTTCCTCCTCTGTAGAATGGGCCTGATTATAGTACTGTGTGACTCATCCTTCGAGTCGCCTGTACTGAACTTCTTGAGACCCACTGCTTATATACATAATAAATATTTTGTGGGGGCCAGGGAGATAGCTCAGTAGAATAAGCACTTGCTTGGCAAGCACAGGGTCCTGAGTTCAATCCCCGGTATTGCAAAATAAATAAATAAAATAAATAAATAAGTAAATAAATATTTTGTTTTGCAATGTGTACCCATTGTCAGAAAAGAAGACAGGGAGAATACAGTCAATAGGTTCACAAACACACTGCCCAGCACGAATCGACCCGCTGCCTCAGCAAATGGCTAGCAGGTCACCCATCGCACAGAGCCCTGGCACCTGACTGTCAGCTGATGGACAGACACAAGTGTGGCAGAGGTCAAGGCCTGCCACAGTCTTGGCCCTTGCTCCATCTGACCAGGCCTGGCTGGGTCTGTGGGGGTGGAGGTAAGGGGTGTTCTATTTTCAGGGTACCAGGCACAAATCCCAATTCTGCCACTTACTGGCTATTTGGTCTGCCCCAAGTCACAACCTTTTTGTACTTCAGTTTCCCCCTCTGCCCACGTTACACTGTAATGACCTCATAGTTATAATGGGAAGATGAAATAAATGGAATTCTAGTGCCTAGCCCAGAGCCTGGCAAACAATGAGGGCTCAAATTAGTTTTTCTTTTGCAGTACTGGGACTGAACTTGCACCTTTGACACTGAGCTACATCTCTTGCTAAGTCATCCAGGCTCGAGCTTGCAATCCTTCTGTCCCAGCCTTCCAGACTGCTGGGTTTACTGGACTGTACCACCATTCCCAGCTTCAGTACATATTCCTTCATGGATACACTTGGAGGCCAGCTACTCTGAGATCCAGGTACAGGAAGCTAAGAAGAACAAACCCTTTGCAGCTACGCTATGATTCTCTTCTGGTCCTCCAGGCCAGGAGATGACTATGGGCAGCTGCCCAGCCAGCCCCAGAGGAGGGAGACGGCAGCAGCTGGAGGATGGGGAAACTGGAGAAGATGTCCTCAACGAAGAGCTGTTCAAGACCCTCAAAAGGCCCATTGTGCCTGTCGAGGACTGCTGAGGCCTGGTTTCTCAGACTTTGGTGACTCAACTCACAGCAAGAAATATACATTTCATGGTGACCCAGTCAGCAGGCACTTAAGTATCACACCTGAAATGCCTCCTGTAACAATAACCCTGGTGAACACCTGCCCAGCTCTTGTGAGGTCCAGGCCCTGCTCCAAGCATTCACATTTTTCTTCGTGTGTTTAGCTCCCAGTCATTCCACTATTATTGTCCTCATTCGAGGAAAAAAGTATGGCCTATCACAGCACAGTAATTCATGCAGCAACAGAGCTGTGACCCAGGACTGACCAATCAGAAACAGGGAAACTGATTCAGCCTGGGCCAATCAGAGCCAAACTTTACAGTTTTGCCTGTAAAAAGGCATGGTCTTCGAGGGCACTTGCTAAGCTGTAGAACTTGTATTCAGCCGGCCAGGAGTTAACTTTACTCCAACACTGAGAAGTTGTGACTTTAGAGAATACGACTCTTGTTGCATAGGTCCTGCTTTACCTTGGTCTTAACCATCCAGCAGAAAAGTATAAAGACGAAGTATAAGAAGTAAAGCCATGGTGTTATGT